TCTTCCCTCCACAAAACTGTAATTTTTGGTATGTTTTCAAGGTAATGACAGAAATAAAACGTGCAGGACTATTTTTTAGCCCAAATGTGTTCGGTTTTCTTGCTGGCCCAAATGCCTGAAAATGGACGACCACTGCCTAGAAGGTGAACACTGGATCAAGGATATGGAAAGAGCAGAATTAAGTTTGAAGACAGACAAAATTTGTACATTTCCCTGCCATCTCAGCAAGTGCAGATTTCATCACTTTGAATCCCATAGAAATGCTACAGCAAATCCAGGCTTTAGTGTTCTTGCTGACGCATCTCTTCTCATCCTCAGCACCAGCACCTGCAGGTTTCTTATTCGCAGACAGAAAATTAACACAGTACAAAATACTGATTAAAGAATCTTTTTTTTTTTTCCTCAGGTTTATTCAACAAATGCTTGTGAAGCTGAAAGATCCTTCCAAATGATTGAAGTAGTAGATCTCCCACCATCAATGAGATGATCAGTTATGAGAGTCAGCAGTTCAGAGTAGACCGACCTCGTCTTGTTTTCACTGGCTAAGAGAATAAGATATCTGCAAAACAATGGATAGCTGAACTCAGTTCTGAATAACTACAACACAGAAGCCATTCCTCATTATTAGTTTGGTAAATGAGAACAGCTAGATACACAGTTGTCTATTTAACTATTTAACTAATGAGGAGACTAGCTCTAAGTGACGGAATCAAAAGCATCCAGAATTGCATTCCAAAACCTGTCCTCCCTCATTATGAGAAAAACATCTGTGAAAATCTTTTCAAAATTATGTTGCTAGACTTTCCTTAGATAGCTGGACATACTGACCTTTAAGGCAAATAGTCCCTTCAGGTACAAAGGGCTCAATAGGTTAGCACCGGACTCACTCATGAAGTAAAGCTACAGGACTGGGTAAAATTTGGCTTCTAAATTACAAAGCCCCTCAATATATATAATTTTGGAGCTTAAGGTCAGTATGTTTAAAGCAACTACTTACTTCAAATACTTATACTGAAATGCTTTTAAGTAGCTGTTAAGAATCCCTTGAGTCTTCACTTATCTCCACAGAGGTTAAGAACATTAATAACATCTGTTCATTCTGAAAACTGGGTTATCTTTGTGTGCTATAGGGTACCCAAAGAGACACACAGCACATGAACAGTTACTTTGTTAGCAAAGTAAAAAGACAAAACACAGGTTATTCTCTCTCCAGTCTTCCATAACTTGTCTTAAAATATGTAAACTTTCTTTCTTGACTTCCTTCTTGGGTAAATAAGTAAATATCACTACTGAAAGTAGTGAATATACTGAAAGTCACTTTTTAGGCACTACAGAAGTGAAAAGAAGTTAATTTCTGGCAACTTTACAAAACACATGCAACACTTCTAATTTCTTAATAGAAAACTCAGAAGTTTGTGTTTTAAGAAACCTTGCAAAAATAATTCAAAGCCATTTCAAAGCCTTTCAAAGAACGACTTTTTCAGAAATAAAGCACTAAAGATCATACTGAAACCATGCCATAAAATTTGAGGCAGATGGGGGAAGCCACCCACCTTAACTTGTTCCAACCTGTGACACCCTGACATCAAATATAACACATACTAATGGTGCTAGGAGAGATGAGCTGTGTTGCATCAGCTCTATGATACAACAGCACCCTCTCTCAGGACATTCTAAAAAATACATAACTGCACAAGGAATCACAGATCTTCTAAGCTACTGGTTGAGCTGGCAAGTACTAGATATTTCAGTCCTATCTGACCTTTCCTGGTAAGAGGGACAAAGACGTTTTGAGCATTTTGTACCTCCTAAACAGCCAGCTGCATCCTTCTGTGCCCAGCTATGTCTTGTTCTCTTCTCCCAACCCATTTGTTCAATTAAAAAAAAACACACAATTAAATAACACCAAAAATAAATCAAATCCTACCAAAACATTAGGGTAAGGTTTATTTCCCCAACTGAAATATTGCCTCGCTTCTCGAGACAATACTGGCAGTACATCCTATATTTTGAGGCAAAAATAACTTTACTAGTTAAGTATTTCGAATCACAAAGGGAGCCCCGTGAAGTAACATACTATGAAAGGAGAATTAATGATTTTATTGCTCATTCTTTCTAACTTGTATTGCTCACTACAGATGCTTATTTAGCTCCATTTATTTGCTAATTTAAGGATTTCTTTGCAGACAATCTCAGACTCATTTCAGCTCAGGCTGTGACAGATAATACACCATTCATACTGCAAATATTTCTATCTATCTCAACACTTTTTGCCCTAGCCTGCAATTCCAGCTATCAATTCAATTACTTAAAGTGACTTTAGCAGTTTGGTTCTCTGCATGTTGGTATATATGCAAAGCATGCCACAGCATGGCAGAGGCTCTGAAACGCCAACTTCCTTAACTGAAAATTGTTAGTGGAGATCAGGATTATTCATAAAGCAGATTAAAAAAAAAAAGAAGAAGAATCGAAGGACAAGTATTCATTATATATGAAGTAAAACTTGAAGTCCATTTATTTGATGATAACACACAACTTATGGCACATTCAGAAGTGTCCATAAAGTCTTAGGAAGGCCAGGGTTTTATACTGAAAGAGACAGCATGAACAAATGGATTGTGCAACATGATGGGATCTGAAAGCACCACGTTTAAAGTCGGTTATCTCATTGGAAAATGAGGACAATATTTACCCACAGCTTTCACACAGATGTCACCATTTTGAAGGAATAAATGCTTGCTGCTACACTTTGAAGACAAAAAGCGCTTTTCTTTATGATAATGAGAATTAAACTTTTTTTAAGAGTAGAAGTTTTACACTATCTAAGCTACGGTTTTCTCATATTCACACGGCTTCCTTACATCCACTTATGCTAATTTTAAAATAATCTGACACAACTTCTTTCCATATAGGTGACATATCAGGCAGAGAATGAAGAGGAGGAGAGTTCTCAATCCTGCAAACTGCTGCACAGACAAAGAGCAAAGGCAAGAGGGAAAAAATGTCCTACAGAGGTTAACTGTGACCTGTTCAAATACAAATATTTACGCAGACAACACAGAGTGCAAGGTCTGTGACCCAGTTCAGGCTGCACAAATCTCCATAAGCTGTTAGAGGAGAGTGGCTGAACCTGCTGTGGAGTCTCGTTCTTGGAGACATTCAAAACCCAACTGGACACAACCCTGAGCAACCTGTTCTACATGACAGCTTTTAGCAGAGGTGTTGGACTGGACACTTTCAGGGTCCCTTCCAACCTCAACTATTCTGTGGTACTGTGATACTCCACTGAAACACAAGTCTGTTCAGAAGATAGACATTAATCACCTGTGATACTCCACTGAAACACAGTCTGTCTGTTCAGAAGATAGACATTAATCACATCATAATCTACTTTTAGATCCCCCAAAGATAAAACACTTTATGGCAGCAGATCTCGGTGAAAATTCAGGACTTTTCTGTACTTTACACATTATCACATACATGAGAAAATCCTATAAAAATCTTCAGAAAGTAGACTGAGAAATGAGCACACAGAGCTACAGAATTCTCGTATTTGGTATTTTAGGGTTTTGTAAGTGATTTTCTGCTTCTGAGATAGAATTCTCACAGCTGTATGAGCACACTATTGATAACATATGTCTGCAGAGCATTTTAATGATGGAAGGCTGCCTCAGGACTGTCTCTTCCAACCATGCAGACAGCAGACGGTGAAATGATGTGTCAGCTACGACTGAAGCAGACCCTCCAAAGCAGACAGGTCATACGTGGAGCAGCTTTGCACAGTCCAGCTGTTCACGTGGTGGCCTCAAGAGCCTCATGCACAAAACTTGAAGGCAGCGTGTGCCGCTCATACACAGCCCATGTTCCACACTTGAGATTTCTACTTAAGAGCCACGGAGGTCCGACAGCAATAAATAATTGATGGAGATGTTTAATGTTCACAGTACTCTTTTTAGAATCTGCCTCATGGTAAGTCTTGCCAGCTGCCAATCAAAATTAAAAAAAAAAAATCTACTTTGCCTACGTCTCTCGAGATTTTGCAGAATTGAAGCTTCTGTGATTTACGTAGTTTTGACATCAAATTGATTTCTTGAGTTCTAAGCTCCCTGGCATGACTCACACATCTCTAAAACGAAAAAGTAAAAATACGGCAAATCAGACCCTGACAGCGTCATCCCACATTCCTTCCCTGCTACTTCTCCCTCTCTTGGGCACCTCCCACGGGATCGGACAACCCTTAACTTGGGAGTAATTCTCCCAAAATCAGTTACCACCATGCTGTCAATGACGTGTTAGCCTCTACGTAAGAAGTAAGGAGCTCTTCCCTCAGCACGTTATATGAAGAGGCGTTACAAAGAAATGGGCACCAGAGTAACTGCACGTATTAGAGATCGTTCAGCCATCACACAGGCGTGGGTTGTGCTGCTATAATTTAGGTCACTCGTGTGGTGTCAGTTTGCTCTGTCTCATGCATGACTCTAAATGTAATAAAGCTCTTCCAGCTATGCAACAATTTAATGATAATTTAACGATAATCAGAATAAACCAAAACCGAGATTTATGTATCAAATTTTGGCTCTCTAAGCAGAATCATCCTAAACTTGCTCACTACTGGGCATAAGGCTCTGTATTTAGTTACAATCCCTGGAAATAAGCAGCATGAGTCTGTCTCGCACAGTGCGTGAGCCGGGAGAGGCTCCTCTTGCCTGACACATCCAAAAGCCCCCAAACCAGCTCCAGAGCATCGCCTGGAGAAGCAGCCAAGCGGCTTTCTACAAAACTGGGGCGAACACGCAACCCTGGGCGCAGACTAACGAGACAGCAGGAGTGGCGGAGGGGGGGGCGGGACACG